TGTATGTGTCTGTGTGTGTGTGTGTGTGTGTGTATCTGAAACACTTGAATGTAATTTGCAGATGTAGCAGGTTAGCCCAGAAAATTACTTTAGCAGGCATCTTCTAAAAATAACATTCTCTTAGGTAGCCACCATGCCTTTATCATACCTAAGGACATTAACATGGTTCATCTCATCTACTATTCAGTCTATGTTTAAATTGCTCCTTGGGTATCAGACCCTACAATTGTGCCTGACACTCATGAGGAGCTACAGATAATGTTTGAGTCAATGTCTGAATTCCTAATTCAACTCTTGGAGGGGTTGTTGGGAGCAGGTGCTCAGTTAATGTGAATACACGACCCCTCCCCCAAACATTCACCCCAGTGCTGTATCTGCCACCTCATTCTGAATTCTCACTCTACCTCTGTGTGAGGTCAGAGAGGTGCCGTGCTTTGCACAGGCCACACAGCAAAATGCCCAGAAGGGCCCGAAATTTGCCGAACTTCAAAGCTCATGTTCTTTTGCCTGGTACACAGCAGGTTCTCAATAAATGCTCATTCCCTTTTCTCTGTCATTGCCTGGCCCACATCAGTGACTGGCCTTTCTGAGCAAGAAAGCAGATGTACATAAATATACATAGCCTGGGCCTCCAGAAGCACTACCCGCTTCCCCAACCCTATCCGGAGGGCCTCCATCTCCATAACACCCCTCGCTCCTCAGTCCACAGGAAACGTGTGGATGACACATGAGGAAATGGAGTCCCTTACAGCCACGACCAAGCCTGTGAGTGCCCCCTGCGGGCAGCCTTTGGGGTGACACTAACTCTCTCTGGGACGGGGCGGGGGTGTGAATCTGTGGCTGTCTGTCCGTCTGTTTGTCCCTCCCGCCCTCCTCCGCCTGCCCCTTAACCCACCCCTTCTCTCCCCTCTTCCCACTAACGGGTCAGGAGACCAAGGAGATCAGCTGGGAGCAGGTAGGGGGCGCGGGGCGGGACGTGGGAGCATGAACAGGCTGTGCACGCTGCATGGACGCCCCTCCCTCTCCGAGCCCCGCCCCCGCCGGAACATTCCATCACCACCGCGCGGGGGCGCTGCGCGGAGCTGCTCTGGACTATCTTTGTGGCTTGGTGGGGGTCGGTGTAGCGGCTCGGACTGTGTGATTGTTAAGAGTGCTGCTCCAGCCGTTCCATTACCACGGGTGCCGGGGCTCTGGGGCTGTTCCATTGCTATAACTAGAGGGAGACGCCGGGCAGCCCGTTTGCCCTGTGCTTGAGGGGGATGTGCGACTGTTTCAGTGTACCGGGCAAAGGGGAAAGCATTCGGGGAGGGGCGGCCACAGGCGGAGGAGTAGGGGAGGAGAAGCGCACTTTATTCTCTGGAAAGCGGAGGGGTGAGCTCGCCCGAGGTGAAGGAACTACAGGGGACAGAGGTCTTTGTTTCTGGTCAGGGGGAAGTGTGCATTGTTTACTTCTGCTAAAAGAAATGAAGGACTGTGGCTTGATACAGAATATCGTTGGACTAGCGTTAGACTAGTATTTTCGAGACAGTGAAGTGTGATGGATGGATCCGTTATTCTTTGTTGGAGGGAGAGCTGCGTTGGAGGAATCCATTGTCCTGACTTGGAGGAGTAGTGATGTTGGTCTGATGCGCTGTTCTGAGCTGGGACGATGCTAGACTGGAGCTTCTCAGACTTGAATGTACAGTTCAAATCACCTGACGATCTTGAAAAATGTAGATTCTGTTCCAGCAGCCTAGGATGGGGTCTGAGATCTTGTAGTTCACAGCTGTGGTCCAAGGACCATACTTTAAGTAGACAAGGGTCTGTTCTGTCATCATGAGAGTAGAAGATAACTTTGGATTGGTTTCTGCCCTGAGCAGAGGTTGGCCATTGTCCTGCTGTAGGGAGAAAAAAGAACAACCCTGGGCTGGGGGGTTGGACTGTACCCCTTCATTAATACATGGGAAGGGGTCAGAAGGCCTGACCCTTCCCTTACCTGCCCATGGCCCCAGATCCTGGCATATGGCGACATGAACCACGAGTGGGTTGGGAACGACTGGCTGCCCAGCCTGGGGCTACCCCAATACCGCAGCTACTTCATGGAGTCGCTAGTGGATGCCCGCATGTTAGATCATCTTAACAAGAAGGAGCTCCGGGGCCAACTCAAGATGGTGGACAGCTTCCACAGGTGGGGCTGCCTGGCCAATGGGGACAGTCCAAGGGGAAGTCCGCTTCTAGAGTTTTTGGCCACTGGGACGGGTGATGGAAAATTCCTGGGACTGTCGTTGGCACTTCCGTCTGGATTCTCAGATCCTGACTCCTGTGCCCCTGCCACTAATTAGACGCCACTGGGAGAAGTCCAAGTCACGAGGCAGTTTGGCTAGTTGACCTTACACTGACATCTCCCAGAAGATCACAGCCAACGGGGAGGGTCCCATAGGAGCATCAGCTGCTGAGGTGGTGAAAGCTCATCTGTGACTCCACTTTCCCCGCTGCTCAGAGTGAGTCTGCATTATGGGATCATGTGCCTGAAACGGCTCAACTATGACCGAAAGGACTTGGAGCGGAGGCGGGAAGAGAGTCAGACCCAGATCCGAGGTGAGTAGAAGAGTATGACTCTGGCTGGGAGACGGAGGGGTTTGGGGCTGGGCTGGAGCCAGCATGGTGAGGGGAGAGGAGAGAGGCCAGGGAAGAAGAGCCTCACCATAAATGTGGGAATGGAGCCAGCATAGGGGTGTGGCCAGGAAAGAGGAAATGGGGGTGGGGGCATGGGCTAAACTGGACGGAGGCTGAGGGTCCCTTCCATCCCAGACGTGATGGTGTGGTCCAATGAGCGGGTCATGGGTTGGGTGTCCGGGCTGGGCCTGAAGGAATTCGCCACGAACCTCACGGAAAGCGGGGTGCATGGGGCGCTGCTTGCCCTGGACGAGACCTTCGACTACTCCGACCTGGCCTTGCTCCTACAGATACCCACGCAGAATGCGCAGGTGAGCTGCCGCTTGGCCCGGGGCATACTGGGCACCCCCACCTCTCAGACTGCACGTTGCAACCCCTCCCCACCTCTCCTCCCCAGGCTCGGCAGCTCTTGGAGAAGGAATTCAGCAACCTTATCTCCCTGGGCACAGACAGGCGGCTGGATGAGGTGGGAGCAGCAGCAGCTAAGAAGGCTCCGCTCCTAGCGGCGCCTGAAGGGTCGGTTCTGCGGTGGTGGGGCTTGACTCCGCCGAGTAGTGATTGGAGGCGGGGCCGTGGGGCGGGGTTAAGGGAGGGAAGAGACCGGGGCAGGGGTGGAGTCAGATGAAGGGGCGGAGTCAGGTCAGGCCCTGGTCCCTCACGGGCTACCCGGGTCCTATACCTAGGACAGCGCCAAGTCCTTCAGCCGCTCGCCGTCTTGGAGAAAAATGTTCCGAGAGAAAGACCTGCGGGGCGTAACCCCCGATTCCGCTGAGATGTTACCCCCCAACTTTCGTTCGGCCGCAGCAGGCGCCTTGGGCTCGCCGGGGCTCCCCCTTCGCAAGCTGCAGCCGGAAGGTGGACGGCTCCGAAATGAGACAGCTCCTCTTCCCTTCCCCTCCCAGAAGTCTCCCTGTCCAAGCTCTGGAATGGCCTAGTCCTTTCTTCCCCACCCATGACAAATGGGCCGCTCCAATAAGACAACTCCTTCCCGTGTAGAATGGATTAATCCCGCACCCCCTTTCCAGGGTGGGAAATGAACTCGCCCACTGTCACCTGGGGGCACCTTGGATGAATTTAAGGCAACCGAAAGGAAGGGAAACCGGCGTGGAAGCGGGAGGTCGTTGTCATCTAGGGAGGGGAAATCCAAGGAAGGACGCTTGGGGTTGAGGATCGGAGAAACCCTGGGGAGGAACTGGGCGGTGTGCGCGCGCAAGCTCCAGGCTGAACCGCTACTTGCTCTCCTTCCAGGCCAGACTTCTGGGAGTTCCCGGGCAGACGGCGTTTCGGTGAGAACCTATTCCTGCTAGTGTAGGCCTCCAGGTGAGGACTGTACAGGGCGATCTTGGGGGTTTCGGGGCCGCACAATGGATCTTCACTGCTCCACGCACTGCTCAATGCAGGTGACCTCACTCGGATGGAAGAATCTTCCAGAGGCTGGGCTGTTCCCCCTTCTGCCCAGAGGTATGGTCTCGCCGGGGAGAGAGGAAGGGGGAGCTCGCGCCGCCGGCTGGACCATCTGTACAGACAAGCAGGGAGTGCACGTCGCCGCCTCACAAATGGACTGGGCCTGGACCAAACCACAGGAACTGGATTGAGAGGGGGAAAGAAGAGGGCAGGAAGAAATCCTGCTCCAAACTTCCGCCTCCCTTTTCTCAGCTTTGTAATTTATTGATCAGTTTCCGATGGGAGACGGGTGCCCTTTTCCCGCGGGAGAGGGGCGGGGCTTCCCTCCCCGGCCGCATGCGAAGAGGGTCTGCCCCCTTTTCCCTTCCCCAGTCGCGGGGCCCAAGTCTTCCCCCTTCGTCCAAAAGGAGGGTGGGTGGACTCGCTGCTACAAGCCTCGCTTCCTGTGCCATTCAGCCCCGCCCCCACGCATCGGGTAGCCGGAGCCTGAGGTCCGCTGCGGGCAGGGTCTCCTCTACCCAGTGTCTCGTGTCCCCGGGGCCCCTCCGCCCTCAGTGCTGTGGCCGTGTCTGTGCCCCGGGGGTAGCGGGTGCAGACTACGCTCCCTGTTCCCCTCTGGCTCCGGGGTTTGCATGGGAGAATCCTCTTTTCATGATGCCACTGGGCGACGGTGTGGAGGGAGGACGGTGGGCCACGGGAGCCCTCGACCGCGACTCTTGGTCGGCCTTCCTGCCCCAGGCGTCACTCAAGTGATCACGGGTAAAGAGAACTGTTTCAAAAAGCTCCCGTGTTGACTGATTTGTCAGGACCCTAGGGAAGCAAGCCAACCACCTCGACGACGCAGGAGTCCAGGCCCCTTCAACTTCAGACCCACGAGTCTAAGTCCCTATCCCCACCCATGTTCCCTAATCTTTAAGAGCCCCCCACGCCCGACAATCAAGTTTTGGGGAGCGCGTTTATTCAGAGAAATAAATATGGCTCGTGGGAAGGGTTGGATGGCCAGGGAGGTGCGTCTGCGCCGCAGCCGCGCGGCCGGGTCAGGATTCTGGAGTTTCCAGCATGTCCGCTAGGGCCCTGGAAAGGAGGACAGAGGTTAGACAGCCGAAGCGTCCAAAACTCACCCTGGGACGCTCAGAGATCGTTACCCTGCCCATTTTACCACTGGTAAGTGGAGTACAAGGTGTCCAATTCTCAGTGCCTCTCTAAACAGGGCCCTCACCCTCCCAACACACACGCACTTACTGGTATAGGGACGAGGAGAAATAGTCGACGTAGCTTCCTGTGAGAAAGGGGTTTGGGTACTCCGTGAGCGAAATTAGGGAGCCTCTGGTCAGGATTAGCTCCACCCCTTTTCCTAGTCCCTCCCCTAATGAATTCCTTCTGGAACTCCCTTCAAAGTTCCGCTCCTTACTCCTTGCTGTGGGTGTTCCCATTCTTCGACCTAGCTTTGGCCCCGCCCGCTCCGTTCAAGGCCCACCCCTCAATCCTTCACCACTGTCTCCAAGCTTCAGCATCTAACCCAAACCTTTCCCCAATTCAGGTTCCGCCTCTCCGTGCTCACCCCGCTCCACCTATTGACTCCCAGCTTTGGCCTCGCCTCCACGGGCCTAGCTCCGCCCGACAAACTTTCGGTCCCAACCCTCAGGTTTTGCTCCTCCCCCACCAGAGGGTCGTCTCTCTGGGCCCCGCCCACGCTCACCGGGTGAGCAGACAGTTTCGCAGACCAGCGGGCAGAGGTAGCAGAACTGGCAGTGCTGGGGGCGGGATGGCGAGAGAGTGAGGGGTTAATAACGTGTCAGGGGCGGGGCCGTACGGGGGTCAGAGGAAGGAGCTGTGTGGAATCTAGGCTGCATAGGGGGTTTGGGGATTGGGGTTGGGTCAGTCTGAGGACAGACGCCAGGATCTGGGACTGGAGGTGCTCAGGTGGTCCCGGCCATCTCCGGGGCTCGTGGAGCCTTGTGACCGGGGAAGTCTCACCTGGCACTGGTCGCAGTGCTCTCCCATGTTCTCTTCATCGCAGTGACAGTTTTCACATTCAGTGCATCTCTGGGGACCGGAGGACCCTGGTTAGGATGGAAACTCTGCCCCCGTTTGGGGCCACCACCAGTCCCCCATCCTACCCTGTGGACATGTTCCCAAGTCCTCATTCTCATTGCCTCCAACACTGAGCTTAGCTTACCTCCCAGAAGTCGCCTTCCTCCTACCTCCTTTCCCTATAACAGGGTGACCACATCCCCGTCACTGTGCGTTGTTGCCGGCCGGACCCTTCACTGTTCTCCCCAGTCGTCCCTACAGCCTGTCCGCCGCCAGTCCCATCCCCCCTCCTCTCAGCCTCGGAGCCTCCTGTCTGTCTCTATCCTGTGTCCTCAGGGGCAGCTCAGGCCTCACTCCTTCCTGGACCATTGGCCCAGCCTCCTCCCCCGCCTCCTGGCCTCCAAGTCTGTTCCCCGTGTGGCCCCAGAAGTGTGTTTCTTCACCAGGAACTGCCCCTGGCCTCCCTCCCGACCCCATTGCTCAGGGCCCTCCCAAGGCACCCCTGAGCCCTGGGGCAGATTCCTGGGGGAGCTGGTGGACGGATCTGGGCAGGAGACTCACGTTGCAGAAGGTGCAGTAGCCACACAGGGACCCCGGCTGGTAGTTCTCGTACTCCTGGGCGTCCTGCGGACCTGTAGGCACAGGAGGGCCGCAGTGACCCGGGCCGGCTCCGCTCCTGCCCACCCCCACCTGCCGGATCGCTTACCAGCGTCCTCACCACGCTCCTCACTGCTGCCCCCTCCAGCCACCTCCTTCCTGGCCAGTGGGTTGGGGATGATGGTGAAGGGGAGCTCTTCCTCCAGCCCCTCCTCTTCTTCCTCCTCCTGTTGGCCTTGGCTCAGGGGGGCGTGAACCTCAGCCCTCTCTCCCCGCCTCTCCCCATCGCCCCCTTCCTCCTCCCGCTCCTGCTCCCCCTGGAAGAGGCTGAGACCATGACCTTCCTCCTCGTCTTCCGCATCCTCCTGGTCCCGCCTGCCATGGCGGGGGCCTTCTCCCTGCTCTGGACCATCCTCATCTTGCTCATGGGAGCCGCGCTCCTCTTCCTTCTCCTCTTCTGATTCCTCCTCGGAATCTCTATCCTTCAAATTATCTTTACCCTTAACCTCCGTATGTTCCGGGGGCTGGGGGCTAACCTCTTTGGTGGATCCTCTGTGGCCAGTCCCTTCATCTCTGTGGCCTTGTTCCCTGCGGCTGGCAGCCTGGTGGCCCAGCCTGACAGAGAAGTCCTCCCCCTCCTCCTCGGCGTCTCCATGCTGGTGAGGGCCGGGGATCGGTGCGTCGGCCTCGCCTGGGAAGCCCTCCTCCCCCCAGCTCTTGTGGGCGTGGGGTTGGTAGCTTGCGACGTGGTGGCGGAACTTGACTGTGATCTCCTCCTCCTCCTCCTCCTCATCTCCAAGGTCGTGGGTATGTCCGGGACCCTGGTGCCAGCGCTCAGTGGGCCCAGCCTCATTTTCCGTGTCTCCACGGTCTTGGTGTCTGTGGCTGAGGATGTGGTGATGGTGTTCCTCGGAGATGCCATCCCCTTCCTCCCCGTGGCCTCCGTGCCTGTGGGCCTGGTATCTATACTCAGTAGAGAATACATCTTCTTCTTCTTCTTTTAAGTGGCCTTGATGTCCGTGGCCAGGGACATGATGGTGATGCTCATCTGAGACATCCTCCGCCTCTTCCTTCCCGTGGCCTTGGTGCTTGTGAGTGTAGTGTCTGTACTCAGTGGAGACACCCTCCTCCTCCTCATCTTCATCACCCTCTTCCTCTCTGTGGCCTCCGTGTACATGCCTGATGATATGATGGTGATGCTCACTGGACACAACTTCGTCCTCATCTTCATCCTCATCTCGATGGCCATGAGTCCTGTGGCTAGGGACGTGGTGGCCATGCTCAGCTGAATCGTCCGTGTCTTCATTCACATGGCCTCTGTGCCCGTGGGCCTGCCACGCACGCTCTGTGAAGACCTCCTCATCAGAGACGTTCTCGTCTCCGACCTCATGCCCTTGGTACCTGTGGCCTTGGAGTCCGTGACTGTGACCATATTCCCTGGAGACATCTTCATCCTCTTCTCCGTGGTCTCTGTGGCTCTGGAATTGATGCCCACCCTCTGTGGAAACACCCTTGTTCTCATCTACTTGGCCTCTATGGCTGTGGATGGGGTGGCCAAACTTGCCGGACGTGTCCTCTGAGGGCCCTGGGACGCCTGCATTGTTGTTCCAGTTGCTGGGGCCTGGCCCGGCCCCTCTCAGCTGCTGGGTCATGGCCGGGGGGAGGAGCAGGCTGGCCGCAGCAGCCCAGAGGACAGAGGTGTGCAGCCATGGCCCAAGGTGGCCCATGGGGACAGATAGGCAGCCGAGCTTCTCCCAGGGCTCGCTCCAGCTGCCTCTGTGGCTGTGTAGATAAATGTTGAGGTCCTTGTCCCTTTTGGATCTTTCTCTTTCTTTCTGTCTGTGACTTCCCTTTGCCGTGTCTCTCTTGTCTCTGCCTTTCTCTGGTCCTGGCGCTGGACACCCCTCTGAGGCAGTCTCAGGAGCCCCCTTGACCTCCCTCTCTGGCCCTCCTCCCCACTTTACAGCCAATAGGGTCTCTCCCCTCCCTTCTCTGTGGCTAAATTTACTTTCAGCCCTGAGTTATTCTGGGTCAGTCCCCGCCTTCCCCTGCCGTCCTGCTTCTCCCGGCTGGGGAGGAGGTGGGCGAAGGGGTCTCTCCTTGTCCAGGAGAGAGTGGCCAAAGGACTTGACACTGGACTGCCAACAAGTTCATGCTTGGCAGCTGCCCAGACAACAGCTAAACTTTTAGTGGGCCAAGTTGGGGGCGCCTGGGGCACTTGGGGGGGGACAGGAGGGTCGTGTCTGAGGGGAGAGACCCCTGCCATGGGAGGATTGGCGGTTAGATTATGGGGAGTTTCTGACTGGAATGGGATCCTCTGCTGAGATGGTGGCTGCCGACATGGAGGCCCTGGAGAGGGATGGAAGCAATCCGCCCCAGCACATGCACCCATGACCTGCAGGCCCTGGAGCTCAGATCTGAGGGCAGGGGCCAGGGCCGGGCCAGGGCTATAAATGTGGTGAGGGGGATGGGGGACTCAGATTACCCAGCAGCCGCAGCTGTCCCTGTCAGAGAGAGGTGGCAGGGGACACGTGGCCTATCTGGGTGTCAGTATCTCCCACTCCTCAGCCTGTCACCATGCATCCCTCTTTAGTAGTCTCCCTCTCTTGAGGTTTCTGTCACCCACTCTCTCAGAATCCCTGTCCCTCCTCCCAAGCATTCTGTCCCCCTGTCACTCTTGGGCTTCTATCTCCCCTTCTCCCTCTGAGTGTCTGCTCCTCACCCCAGTCTTTGTCTCTCTCTGGATCAGTGTACTGCCCCACCAAGTTCTCTGTGCCCCCCTTTCTGATTCTCTGCATTCCACCTAAGTCTTTGTGTCCTCCACTCAGAGTCAGAGTGCCACCTTCTCCCATGTCTGTCATCCCCCTTTGTGAGTCTCCCCCGCTGTCCCTGTCCCCTCTCGCTGGATCTCTGTCCCTCTCTGAGTCTCTGTCCCACGCGTCCTAGGTCTCTGCCCCTTCTCTTTGGTCTCTGTCCCTCTTTCTGGTCTCTTTCCTTCTGCCTCTGGGTCCCAGTCCGCCTCCCTCCGGGTGCATGTCGCTCTCCCGGTCTCTGTCCGGCAGACCTGTCCGGCCCCTGCCCCGCCTCCTGCCCTGCGTCTCCGCGACTCCCCGCCCCCCAGACTTCGCCCCGCCCTAGGCTGCGCCGGAAAGTGGCGGAGCCGGTTTGTCCCGGGCGGGTCTGGAACCAGGGCTGGCGGGGCGAATGTAGGGACCTCTGTTGCGGCAGGTTGCGGCAGCTGCGGCGGCATGGTGGGCCCGGAGAAGGAGCAGGTACAGCGGCCGGGCCCCCGGGTCTGAGGGAACTGGGAGCTGGGGTCCTGGCCTCCTGGTTCGCAGAGAGGAGGTTGCTGGAGACCCAGATTCCCGGTCATAGAAAGGAGGGGGCTGCGGGACGCGGAATCCTGGGTCCTTTGGGACGGTGGGAAGGGGTTGATAGGGGTCGAGACCTCTGGGTATAGGAGAGGAGGGCTCGGGGGTCCCGGACTCCTGGTTCCCGGGGTAGGGCGTGGGGTGGGTGACTCCGTGTCCCATAGGACTGAACTGGAACCCCCGATCCCTTGTTCATGGTCCCAGAGCTGGATCCCCAAGATCTTCAAGAAGAAGACGTGCACGACGTTCATCGTTGACCCCACAGATCCGGGGTGAGGAGTTCGCCCCGGGGACCGACCCCGGAGCGCCCGAGGTCCGCTGGCCCCGCCCACCACAGACCCGGCCCTTGGCCCCTCCCCTTCCCCTACGGTGTCCCTGCGGACACTCCCAAGGGCGTTCCCTGGTGGCGCGCTCCCTCGGGAGGATTTGGGTCTGTGCGGATGCTTCCAGCTTCCCACTCTCTGGCTCAGAGTCAGCGTTAAAGCCCCAGGACTCGGTTCTGATTCTTTCCTTCCTGTGTCTTTGCCTTGTGTCTCTGTCTCCTTTCCTCAGTTTCTCTCTTTCTCTTGTTGCTGTTTCATTCATTCATCATTCATTCATTCATTCATTCACCTATGAGATCTTCCTCAGCTCCCCCAAAGGAGCATAATTTTCAGGAGCACAAGCTCTGCTGGGTTCAGATTTCACCTGGGACACATGCTGTGTGTCTTTGGGTAAATCATTTCACGTCTTGGGGCCTCATCTACCATCTGAGCGTAAAAACAGGCCCTACCTCCTGGGGTTATACCAAATTAAACAAGTTAATGCTTATGATATTTCCTGGAACAGTGCCCGGCACCTAGAATCCCAGGGAAATAACCACAGTTCCCATCCGAGGATACCAATTACTGTTGTGTGAAGGCCCTGGACTTGTGCTGGGTGGCCAGGAACACCACATGAGCCAGGTTGGGGGTTTTCCACCCTCGAGGAGTAATCCTGGTCTTCAGTGAGGGTCTCTCAAGTGGGTCCTGGCTTTCTAGTTGTTCTTAAAACAATCTCTGGGGTATGGGAAATATCAACATTCCTAATTTTGTGTGTGTTTTGTTATGAATGTATTAGTGCAGTATGGCTTACAATTATGCATAAATAAACAGATATACATTATTGGGGGTGAGTCTTCAAAACCTTTTTAGTGATGGGGAAGGTGGTCAACAAAGTTTGGGAATCTCAGGCCTGCAGGGATGATGATTTGTAAGGCAAAGAGATGGGAGCCGTGAGGTCTCACTGGGCCCCGTGGGAGTGAGGGGGTGTCTGGCTAGGGCTGGGGAGGCGACCCAGGGTGTCACTAATGACTTCTGGAGGAGGAACAGCCAGTGAGAGGACATTTGAAGGACCACTTGGAGTTTGACGGTTGAAGGCAGGCTGGAGAGAGGAGCGTGGAAAGTGATTCCAGAATCGGGCACAGCATGTGCGAGGTGCCCCTTATCGACAGTGTGGTGTGGCAGAAGATGGAGCAAAGTTCAGGGTGCAGAGAGCGCTGTCGAGAGAGAGCAGGGCCAGACCTCACAGGGCCTCAAGACGGCACTCTGACAGGCTGGACCTTGTCCTGGGGTGCTGGGGAGCCACAGGAGGGGCGGGGTCAGCTCTAGGCATGGAAAGACGCTCTGGGGGCTGTGTGAGGATGAATAGGAGTTCAGGAAACCAGGGAGGAGGCTGGGTGAGGGCCCAGATGGGAGGGGAAGAGTCCCAGCTGGGCCAGGGCTGTGGGGACATGGTGGGGGGAAAGGGCTGGAGCTTGCAGACTGATGCATTTGGGGAATGGGGGGAGGACAGCTCCTGGACATCTGATCTGGGGCCTGGGAGACAGCAGGGTTGTCCCCGAGGTGGGGAGCCCAAGAGGATGAGCAGGTGTGGGAAATGTTACAGAGCAAAGTGGGGGACTTGCTGGGTCAGAGGACCCCAGAACACCAGGGGGTGTTGCCAACTTGGGTTTGGGGCTCAGAGAAAGGTCTGGGACTTCCGTCCAGAACTGGAGAAGTCTTAGCTGTAGATGGTAACAGAAACTGTGGAATGAGCTGAGATGTCATGGGGGAAAAATGTGTAGTCAGGGAGGTTGCAAACTGGCATTTCCATGACTGATTTCTTTTTTTTTGAAAACCCATTCTCAGTGCTTCACAACAAACATGCCTCTTTAAGTTGCCATAGCGTGTGGCACACCCACTTGTTTTCCACCTGCTCCTTTCCTGTAAGTCACTTGCTTCGCCCCCGGGGGCATCGAGTTGGAGACCCCTGAGGAGAGGCCCCGTGGTCCTGGCTCTGGGAACACCACTCGGGAGAGGCACAGAGGGAGAGAAAGCCCCTGATGAGGCAGGGACAGAGCAGCCGAGTGGGCAGGTGTGCTCTGCCGAGGAAATGATTTTCTAGAACTGGAGCCTTTCAGCTGTGACCGGTGCCACTTTGTGATAGAATCATATAAGTCCTGAAAGTGGCCGTGGAATTTGGGATGCGCAGGTAATGGCTGATCTTTTCGGTCTCAGGGCCCACACTGAGGAAGCGGGGGAGGAGGCGAGAAGTGCTGAGGGGGAGTCTGGGTTCCGTCCACCAGAACTTTCTGCAGTGGAGGAAATGCTCCATATCCATGTCCAACATGGCAGCCACTGGCCACACGTGGCTCCCAGGAACTTGAAATGTGGCCAGAATGATGGAGGAACTGAATTTTTCGCTGTATTTGATTTTCATTTATTTGAATATAAAATGTCCCATGTGGCTAGGGGCTACCATATTGGATAAAGTTCTGGAACATTCTATGAAGAAGTTTTGCAGGAAGGGCTAGTGGGAAGTAGATGGAAGGGAACAAGGGGATACAGGGAGGGGGTTGGGATGCAGGAAAGGATCAAGTGGGTAAACTGAGGCATACCAGGACTCTTGAGATAGGCTCAGGAGGAAGGAAGGGGGTGTCCTTCACTGTGGTTCTCATTCTGCCAGGAGCTGGGCTGAGTGTATTCTGTTCATCCTGTGTGTGATCAGATCATTCTTTTAGTGTCTTCGCAGCATTTGCCAAATCCTTGGACCACCATGGCATTCTTGACAACCAATCCTTAAATCGAGGCTAACTCCATTTACGTAAATGCGTGTCTTCCCCCAGTATCTGAATCCCTTCAGGAATCAAGGGCCAACGATTAAGATACAGTTTCAAATAAATCCCTCATTCCCGGAACCTGTTTTGCTTGCTCTTTAAAACTCAAGTGCCAGTTGCATTTAGATAGCAAGGAATACTTGTACATTTATTTAGGGTAAAAAAAAGTCTCATGTATGCTCACCATAAATGGGACCTATTCCATTTGTCACAAAAGGAAAAAAACAAGCCATGAAAGACAGTTACAGTGAAAGCAAATAGGAATTTTTACCTGTCTAACTGGGTGTTACTGCCAGTCCAGTTTTCTGAGCCTAAGGCTTGCTTTTCTCTGTTAAAAAAAAAAAGGTAGCAAAGAATTAGGCATTACAGATGTTCCAGCACCCAGCTGAGCCTCTCTCCTTAACAGGAGACAAAAAAGGAATGACTTTCTCACTGTGTTATGCAAAGTTATTTAAAGCTCCGCGTGGAGTTCACAGTCATCTGGGTCTGGCATGCACCCTCGTTTCAGGAAGCATTGCATTATTTCATTGGCTCCTTATAGTTCTGTGAAGTAGGCTGTGCCACTGTCTTTTCATTTGGGGGGGGAAATTTAGGCTCAGAGAGGGGAAGCCACTTGCCCAAAGTCACACAGCTGCCTTCCCCTCTGGGTGCCCCCAGCACTCTCTGAATCACTCTGGATTTTCCTTTTCATGATAAATATTATCTGTTTGGAATAGGGGCAATGAGGACACCCCTTGATGGCCCCCTGTGCTTTTCCATTGCAGGCCCTGCTGGCAACATGAGGGTGGGCCCTGTAGGCCTTCCTGCTCAGGCTTCCTGGGGCCACCACGCTTCCTTCCGGTGGGCAAGGAGACTGGTGGTGCTCCCGCTGCAGCCAGGGTGGGGTCGTGCCAGGGGCAGCATGGGCTGTGACTGCCTCTGAGGGCCGTGCAGAAGTGTGGCCCTAACACAGGATGCTGGGGGCGGGAGTTCATACTCCTCCTTCTCCCCACCAGAGGGACCTTGTGCCAGTGTGGCCGTCCTCGCAGTGAGCACCCATCAGTGGCTGTAGAGGATGCATTCGGGGCAGCCGTGGTGACCGTGTGGGACAGTGACTTGCACACCACGGAGAAGCCCACTGATGCCTACGGGGACGTGGACTTCGTGGGCGTTGGCCGTAAGGCCAGCAATGTGAGGCCTGCATGTCTGGGCAGGGCCAGGGTCTGTGAGCGGGACTGCATGCCTCGGACTCCCAGAGCCAGCGTCTGGGGGCGCCCCAGCTGAACGCTGTGTCTCCCCACTTGCCCATCCCCATCCTTACCTCTCCCTGGATCTCTCTGCCCTCCACCCCCGTCTGTCTTCTCTAAGTCTGTCCCTTTCTCTCTGGGTTCCTATCTCTTCCCCCTGGTTCTCTGACCTCACCTGTCTCCGGATCTGTGTCTCTGCGCCTTCCTCTGTCTCTCCCTTTCTCCTTGTGTCTCTGTCCCCTTCTTTGTCTCCATCCCCCTCCCCGTGTCCCCTCCACCTGTGTGTCCACAGTTCCTCCGGCTCTCTGACCGCACGGATCCAGCTACAGTTTATAATCTGGTCACGCGCACATGGGGCTTCCGGGCCCCGAACCTGGTGGTGTCAGTGCTGGGGGGGTCGGGGGACCCCGTCCTCCAGACCTGGCTGCAGGACCTGCTGCGACGAGGGCTGGTGCGGGCTGCCCAGAGCACAGGTGACTGAAGTGGGGAGGCTGCGCCTTCTGGGCCCGGGCGACCGCCCCTCCTCCGCATTTCTCTGGTATGCTCTCTCCCGGCCCTGCATGTGGGTCCTTGTCTCACTCTCCCTTCTCTGTCTCTACAGCCCTGTGTGTCTCTGGGCCTAACCAGCACTCTCTCCGTCTCTGTGTAGGGGCCTGGATCGTCACCGGGGGGCTGCACAGGAGCATTGGCCGGCATGTTGGTGCAGCTGTGCGGGACCACCAGACAGCCAGCACTGGGGGCACCAAGGTGGTGGCCATGGGTGTGGCCCCTTGGGGTGTGGTTCGGAATAGAAAGGCCCTCACCAACCCCAAGGTGGGACCCAGGGTCCTGGAAAAGGAGGGCCTGGGGGCTGTGGGTCCTGGGTCTCAGGGAGGAGGGCGCGGGGAGTCAGGATTCTGGGTCTGGGTGAGTGACTGGTGTCCGCCCTCCTGGCCCTGATGCAAACACTCCTGGTCGGGCCGCTTGTTCCCCAGGGCTCATTCCCTGCGAGGTACCCGTGGCGTGGTGACCCTGAGGACGGGGTCCAGTTTCCGCTCGACTACAACTACTCAGCCTTTTTCCTGGTCGACGACGGCACGCACGGCTGCCTGGGCGGCGAGAACCGCTTCCGCTTGAGCTTCGAGTCCCACATCGCTCAGCAGAAGACGGGCGTGGGAGGTGAGTGGCTTCTTCCACGGCCCAGGGTCTCAGTGGGCTGGTCTGGGCAGAGTTTGGGGAGTGGGGCAAGGAGGAGTGCCCTGTGGTCAAGGGCCTTCTCCCGTCATTCGCTGTGTTTTAAAAAATCTTTATCTGGAAATCTAAAATGGACAGGAGACTACTTGATGCATTTTTAGCAAACTGAATCTCCTCATGCAAGCAGCACCCAGATCAAGAAACAATAGTACAGCCCCCAGAAGCCTCCTGCCCTCACCCTTCTCCTGCATGTAACAACATGGATTAATTCTGACCCCGTTTGTGCTTCATAAGAATAGAATCCTACCGTCTGCATGTTTCTGAGCCTGGCTTTCTCTATTCGAAATATTTTTGTGAGATTCATACATATGGTTGCATGCTTTTTCGTTTGTAAATACCTATGGGTCAAAGAAGAAAGAAAAGAAGCTAAAAACTATTCTTAACTGAGTGATAAGACATATACAACACACCAATGTTTTTGGGATGCAGCCAAAGCAATATCCCGAGGGAAATGTGTAGACTTCAATGCATATACCAAAAAAAAGGGAAGAAAGGCTGAAAATCTGTAATTTAAGCCTCCCATTAGAAAACAATCTGGAAACAGAATAGCAAATCAAATTTAGGGAAAGTGGATGCAAAGAAATAATAAAGACAAGGGCAGAAATCCATAAAATAAAAACAAACGTGCAGTGGAGAAAGTCAACTAAACCAAAAGCTGCTTCTTTGTAAACAGTTTCTATATTCTTAAAAGTAGCCACTTAATTCTTCAGTTTTACTTAGCTTTTTGGCAACTTTCATCTCATTTTTTGAATTACCATACAGTGAAACTGACTTTTTGGGGACATAGTTCTATGATTATAGATTCATGTGACCACTTCCACCATGAGGACAGAGACCCATTCTGTTACCCTGAAGGCATTCTTTTTGTACCCAACTCCTGGCAACCATGGGTCTTCTTGCTGCTCTAGTTTTTATTTTCCAGGAGGTTATATAAATGGAATAATATAATACATGACCTTTTGAGACTGGCTTCTTTCCCTCAGCATAATATATTATGGCAGTTTTAATATGTACTAATTGCAACAAGTAAAACCATATGAAGGTATATAAAGAAAAAATGAATTATCTTCCCTTCCCAGGTCCAACCCCCTCTACTGGGATAAACAGTGTTATACAATTTGGAGTTTATCCTTTTACACCTTTCTCTATGCTTATAAAATCCTATGCAATTATTATTTCCACTTATATGGTATTGCTGTCTTTTTGTTTTATACTATACATATACATATTACATTTGTTTATAATCATCCCACACTTCTCTAGCTTGCATCTCCTAGTAATAGTTGCATGATATACCTTGGTAATGGTTATACCACCTCTTGTTTTAAATTTTCTCAACTGATGGATACTTAAAAATGTTACCAGTGTTTGGCACTAAATATCTTTGTTGGACATTCATAATTATGTACAGGAATTTTAAATTCTCTACAGTAGTTTCCCCAAGTGATTTTGCTGGGTGTGTGTATATTAACAGAGAGTACTAGATAACTTTCTAAAATTTTGTGCCAATTTTCACTCTTATCAAGAATGTGTGAGAATGTCCTTTCTCATCCAGTCTCGACCTGCTCTGGATATTTTCGCTTTAAGTTTGGCCAATCCGATGGGTAAAAGTGATACCTCACTTTTACTTTTTCTAACTACTATTAAAAAATAAAGACATATTTTATTGACTAGTCAGATTTCCTCATTTCTGAATTGTCTGTTCATATCTTTTGCAAATATTTCAGCCAGGTTATTCCTATCTTATCTTTTTGTAGGAATTCTTTGTATCCTGTCTATAGTAATGCTTTAACTGTTAGATGTAGTGTGAAATGTTTAAAAGATACTTTTATGATGTCTGTTTCCATAAAAAGTCTAGCATTTGTATGTAGTTAGATATATTTCTTGCTTCTTTTATAGACCCTTAGTTTCTTGTTTTTTTAAGAAAAGTCCACCCCACTCAATGCCATACAAATATTCTGTCTTCTTTTTAATATCTTGTGTTTTTATATTTAAATGTTTATTCTATCTGGAAAGGATTTTTTACATGTTTTAAGGTAGGGAGTCTGCATTTCTTCCAAATGGAAAGACCTGTGTCCTTCTTGACCATTTAATAAATAAACCATCTTTTCCCAGGTGAATTGAAGCCACATCAATTATATATTCAGTTCCTTTATACATGGAAATCTGTTTCTCAACCTTTTTCTCTCTTCTCCTTCCATCTATTCCTGTGCCAAAACTATGTTTTGATTACAGCAGTTTAAGGACATTTGAATGTAATTAGGGAAAGTTCCACCCCACTGTTCTTCCTCAAAAACTTCTTAGCTCCTCTCTGATAATTATTCCTTTATATTTAAATTATTTTGTTTCATTTGAAAAAAAAAAAAAGGAAAGCTTTTCCAAACTCCTCCTATGCCCTTTCTTTCCCTGAGCTGCCTTGAATTTATGTGTTGCTTTATGACAGATCAACAAGGTATTAATATTTTCCATTTATTCTGGCCTTGTCCTTAAATAAAGTCTGTCAATTTCCTTATAAAAACCTCAAATTTTTCTGGATGAATTAATTCCCAAGTATTGTATCATTTGTATGCAAACATGGATAAAATCTGTATTATTACTAGTTTGGAGAGAAGTTTTTGATTTTTGTGTATTTTTCTTGTATCAATCCTCTCACCAAATTCCCTTATTAATATTTACTTATTTTGAGTGGAGTCGCTCCAAATTTCTGAGAATATAAATCATGTTTTCTTCAAATAGATACATTTGTCTCCTCCAGTTTAAAAAAATACCGGTTTTCCCTTCAGTTAATTAGTTTTCTTGCATCATTATGTTAGCATGAAACTCCTGGATGAGTGTGAATAGCATCGTTTCTTGCTTAATGGGAACAGAGTTAGTAGAAAATGACTTTATATGATTTTGCTATTGGGCTTTGGTAAATACCTTTACTGTGTTTGGATAGTCCTTTTTATTCCTTAGTTCCTTCATTCTGTTTGAACTTTCATTTTCTCCTGTCTCCTGGGTGGTTAATCAATTATAGGATTGACTCATGCCATAAATACCTGCCTCATGCAGGAACCCAGGAGCCCGGGCTCCCAGCCTCCTCCTCCCTTGGGAAGTTGAGCATTGCTGTCTGGGGAATCTGGCCCCTGCCAGCGTGCTCGGAGACATGACAATTCCCGAGAGCCTCAGGACAGAGGATTAGCCCGAAGCCAGAGTTTGCCCCAGGGACTCCTGGGAAATGTTCTCTCCCTTCCCTGGCAAAGGCTGATGGGAGGTGACCTAGCCCCCAGCTCTCTTCTCCTCTCAGGGACTGGAATTGACATCCCTGTCCTCCTCCTCCTGATCGGTGGTGATGAGAAGATGCTGAAGGTATAGGGGTCCGGACGGCTGGGTCTAAGGGAGGAGGGGCTGGGGATGTGGACCCTAGAGGGAGTGAACGCCGGCCTTCCCTGACCTGACTCCTCCCTTTATCCTGCAGCGGATAGAGAATGCCACCAAGGCTCAGCTCCCCTGCCTCCTGGTGGCCGGGTCTGGGGGAGCTGCGGACTGCCTGGCAGAGATCCTGGAAGACACCCAGGCTCCGGCGGAAGGGGGAAGCAGGAGAGGGAAAGCCCAAGATCAGATCAGGCGTTTCTTCCCCAAAGGGGACCCGGAAGCCCTGCAGGCTCAGGTATGACGCTGGGGGCCCAACTCTGGATACTGAGATGGCGAGGAGATGGGGCCCTGGGTTCCTGGGTCTTGAGAGATCAGGGTGCTGAGGACTTGGAGTCCTGGATCCAAGGGAAGAGAGGAATGGGGGTCCAGACTCTTGGATTTGCGGGAGAAAGGGCTGGGGGTCTGGACTCCTGACTGAGGGAGGAGAGGCCTAGGGGTCTGGCTTCCTAGGTTCCCGGGGTGGAAGGTGCTGAGCACCTGGACCGCTAAGTCCTGGAGGGAATGGTCTGCTGTGTTGCTGTGAACAGGGTCCAGGTGGAGCTGGGCCAGGGATACAGAATTTGGTTTTCTGCAGGTGGAGAGGATCATGACCCGGAAGGAGCTGCTGACAGTGTATTCATCTGACGATGGCCCTGAGGAATTTGAGACCATCGTTTTGAAGGCCCTTGTCAAGGGTAAGACCGGGACTCCCAATTCTCCCCCTCACTCAGCTCAGCTTTGGGCACGTTTCCCAGCCCGGGCTTTCTATCCATCCTTTCTAATCTCAGGTTGTGCCCCGTCTTAGCCCTTCCCTTTTGCCATCACCCTTTTGGGTATTTGTTGGGGGCTTCACATGGTGCTTTTTGGACATTT